AGATCACACCACTGCACTCCAGCCTAGGCAGCAGAGCGAGACTCTGTCTCAAAAAAAAAAAAAGAAAAGAAAAAAAAAAAGCTGGGCACGGTGGCTCATTCCTGTAATCCCTGAACTTTGGGAGGTCAAGGCAGGTGCAACACAAGGTCAGAAGATCGAGACCATCCTGGCTAACATGGTGAAACCCCATCTCTACTAAAAATACAAAAAATTCACCAGGCGTGTTGGCATGCACCTGTAGTCCCAGCTACTCGGGAGGCTGCCAGGAGAATGGCGTGAACCCAGGAGGCGGAGCTTGCTGTAAGCCGAGCTCTTGCCACTGCACTCCAGCCTGGGCAACAGAGCGAGACTCCATCTCAAAAAAAAAAAAAAAAAAAAAACACCTGAGACTCGGCAATTTATAAAGAAAAAATCAGGTCATTGTTCAGCAGGCTATACAGGAAGCAAGCATGATGCTGGCATCAGTTTGGTTATGGGGGAGACCTCAGGAATCTTCAGTCATGGCAGAAGATGAATAGGGAGCAGGCACATCACATGGCCAGAACAGGAGCAAGAGACATACAGCAAGGTGCCACACACTTTTAAACAGCCAGATTTCACAGAAAGTCACTTACTATCACCAGAATGGCACCTGGAGGATGGTGCTAAACCATTCTTGAGAAATCAGCCCCCATGATCCAATTACTCTCACTAGGCCCCACCTCCAATACTGGGGATTACAATTCAACATGAGATGTGGGCAGGGACACAGATCTAGACTACATCATTCCACCCCTGACCCCTCTCAAATCTCATCTTTCTCACATTTCAAAACACAATCATGCCTTCCCAATAGTCCTCCCAAAATCTTAGCTTATTCCAGCATTAACTCTGAAGTTCAAGTCCAAAGTCTCATCTGATATTCATCTCCTTCCACCTATGAGCCTGTAAAATCAAAACAAATTAGTTACTCCCAGGGTACAATAGGAGTATAGGCATTAGGTAAACAGTCCTGCTCCAAAAGGGAGACATCAACCAAAAGAAAGAGACTACAGGCCTCACACAAGTTCAAAACCCAGCAGGACAGTCACTAAATCTTAAAGCTCCCAAATAATCTCCTTTGACTCCATGTCCCACATCCAAGTCACAGTGGTTCAGGGAGTGGGTTCCCAAGGCCTTAGACAGCTCTGCCCCTGTGACTTTGGAGGGTTCAGCCCCCACAGCTGCTCTCAAGAGCTGGCATTAAATGTCTGTGGGCTTTTCCAGGCACATAGTCAGGGGATCTACCACTATGAGGTCTGTGGGACAGCAGCCCTCTTCTCATTGCTTCACTAAGCAGTGCCCCAGTGGGGACTCTGTGGGGGGGTCTCCAACCCCACATTTACCCTCCACACTGCCCTAGTAGAGGCTCTCCATGAGGCCTCCATCCCTGCGGCAGGCTTCTGCCTAGACACACAGGCTTTTCCATACATCCTCTGAAATCTAGGTGGAGGCTCCTAAGCCTCAACTGTTGCACTCTGTGCACCTGCAGGCTTAACGCTACATGGAAGCCACCAAGGCTTATGGCTTGTATCCTCTGAAGCAGCAGCTCAAGCTGTACAGGAGCCCATTTGAGTCATGGATGGAGCAGAAGTGGTTGGGATGCAGGGGAGCAGTGTCCCGAGGCTGCACAGGGTACTGGGGCTTTGGGCCTGGCCCACAAAACCATTCTTTACTCCTAGGCCTCAGGGTCTGTGATGGGAGGGGCTGCCTCAAAGGTCTCTGAAATGCTTTTGAGGCCTTTTCCCATTGTCTTGGCTATCAGCACTTGACTTCTCTTTAGTTATGCAAATCTTTCTAGCAAGTGGTTTCTCCACAGCCTGCCTTGCAACTTCTGCCTGTTACCCAGTTTCAAAGCTGCTTCCACATTTTCAGGTATCTTTATAGCAATGACCCACTCCTAGGTACAAGTTTTCTGTATTAGTCCATTTTCACATTGCTATGAAGAAATACCTGAGACTGAGTAATGTATAAAGCAAAAAGGTTTTATTAACTCATGGTTCTGCATGCTGTACAGGAATAAGCATGATGCTGGCATCTGCTCAACTTCTAGGAAGGTCTTATGAAATTTACAATCTGTGGCAGAAGCTAGGGAACAACATGCACATGACATGAGCAGAGCTGGAGCAAGAGAAGGAAAGCAAGGTGCCATATACTTTCAAACAGCCAGATCTCATGAGAACTCAGTATTGTGAGGAAAGCACCAAGTGGATGGTGCTAAATCATTCATGAGAAATCCAACCCAAGATCCAATCAATCCCACCAGGTCCTACCTCCAATACTACAGACTACAATTCAACATGAAATTTGGGTTGGGACACATATCCAAACTATATCACTGTCTTTTCCCTAATCTATGTTCTTGACAACTGTGTCGAAAATGAGTTCATTGTAGGTGTATGGATTACTTTCTGGGTTGTCTATTCTGTTCCGTTGGTCTATGTGTCTATTTTTATGCAAGTACCATGTTGTTTTGGTGACTATAGTTTTAGAATATAATTTGAAGTCGGGTAACATGATTCCTCCTGTTTCATTCATTTTGCTCAGGATAGTTTTGGCTATTCTAGGACTTCTGCGATTCCATGTAAAGGTTAGGATTGTTTATTCTATTTCTGTAAGAATGTCATTGGGCTTTTGATAGGGAGTGCATGGAGTCAGTAGACTGCTTTGGCTAGAATGGACATTTTAACAATATTGATTCTTCCAATCCATGAACATGGAATATCTTTCCATTTTCCTGTGTCCTCTTCAATTTATTTCATCAATGTTATATAGTTTTTGTTTTTGTTTTTGAGATGGAATCTCACTCTGTCACCCAGGCTGGAGTGCAGTGGTGCAATCTCAGCTCACTGCAACCTCCACCTCCCAGGTTCTAGTAATTCTCCTGCCTCAACCTCCCCAGTAGCTGGGACTACAGGCAGGCACCACCACATCTGGCTAATATTTGTATTTTTAGTAGAGACAGGGTTTCACCATGTTAGCCAGGGTGGTCTTGAACTCCTGACTTCAAGTGATCCACCTGCCTCAACCTCCCAAAGTGCTGCAATTACAGACATGAGCCACTGTGCCTGGCCAGTGTTATATAGTTTTAACTGTAGAGATCTTTCACTTATTTGATGAAGTTCATTCCTAAGTATTTAACTTTATTCATAGCTATTGTAAATGGGATTACTACTTTATTCATAGCTATTGTAAATGGGATTACTTTTTTGATTTTTCAGGTTGTTTGCTATTGGAATATAGAAGTGCTACTGAATTTTATATAAATTTATGCTGTATGTTAATTTTGTATCCTGCAACTTTACTGAATTTGTTTATCAGTTCTAATAGGGTTTTTTTTTGTGGGGTATTTAAGCTTTTCCAAATATAAGATTATATCATCTGCAAAGAAGGATAATTTGGCTTCTTCCATTCCAATTTGGACACCCTTTCTTTCTTTCTCTTGTCTAATTGCTCTGGCTAAGATTTCCAGTACTATGTTGAAGAATAGTGATGAAAGTGGGCAAACTTGTCATGTTCCACATCTAAGAGGAAAGGCTTTCAGTGTTTCCCCACTTAGTATGATGCTGGCTGTGGGTCTGTCATATATGGCTTTTATTATGTTGAGGTATATTCCTTCTATACCCAGTTTTTTGAGAGTTTTTAATCATGAAGGGATGTTGGACTGTAATGCTTTTTCAGCATCAATTGAAATGATCATATGGTTTTTGTCCTTCATTCTGTGGATATGATGTATCACATTGATTGATTTGCTTACGTTGAACCATCCTTTAATCCCTGGGATAAATCCCACTTGGTCATGATGATTGGTCTTTTTAATGTATTGTTGAATTCGGTTTGCTAGTATTTTGTTGAGGACTTTTGCATCATTATTCATCAGAAAACTTGGCCTGTAGTTTTCCTTTTTTGATGTGTCTTTGTCCGGTTTTGGTAGCAGGATAATACTGGCCTCATAGAATGAGTTTGAGAGTAATCCCTTTTTTTCTGTCTTTTGGAACAGTTTGAGTAGAATTGGTGTTAGTTCTTCTTTAAATGTTTGGTAGAATTCAGTGTTAAAGTCATCGGGTCCATGCTTTTCTTTGCTAGGGGGCTTTTTTTTTTTTCTTCAACTTTTAAGTTAAGGGTACATGTGCAGGTTTGTTACACAGGTAAATGTGTGCTATGGTGGTTTGCTGCACAAATCATCCCATCACCTAGGTAGTAAGCCCAGTGGCCACTAGCTATTCTTCCTGATTCTCCCTCCCCACCATGCCCACCCCCAACCAACAGGCCCCAGTGTGTGTTGTTCTGCCTTATGTGTCCATGTGGTCTCATCATTCATCTCCCACTTATAAGTGAGAACATGCGATGTTTGGTTTACTGTTCCTGCACTAATTTGATGAGCATAATGTCTTTCAACTCCATCCATGTCTGCAAAGAACATAATCTTATTCCTTTTTATGGCTGCATAGTATTGCCTGGTGTATTCTTGCCTCATAGAATGAGTTTGGAAGTATTCCCTCCTCCTCTATTTTTCAAAATAGTTTGACTAGGATTGATATTCGTTCTTTTTCAAATGTTTGGTAAAATTCAGCAGTGAAGCCATAGGATTCCAGGCTTTTCTTTGCAGGGAGACTTTTTATTACAGCTTTGATCTTGTTACTTGTTATTGGTCTGTTCAGATTTTAGATTTCTTCGTGGTTCAATTTTGGTAGGTTGTCTGTGTCTAGGAATTTATCCATTTCCTCTAGACTTTCCAATACATGGGCATATAGTTGCTCATATTAGCCACTAATAATCCTTTCAATTTCTGTGGTATCAGTTGTAATATCTCCTTTTTCATCTCTGTTTTTATGTATTTGAGTCCTCTCCATTTTTTCCTTCGTCTGGCTAAATGTTTGTCAATTTTGTTTATCTTTTGAAAAAAACCAACTTTTTGTTTCATTCATCTTTTTGTATTGTTTTCCTCATTTCAAATTCATTTATTTCTGCTTCAACTTTCCTTTTTTTTTGACCTCTGAACTTTTTACTGGCCTCGAGCTCCCCAAACGGTACCCTGATTCTGCTGGCTTAAATTCTCAGAATTTTGGTGTCGTTGGTCTCAGACACCACTTTGCCATCCACTATCTGGCGGGTGGTGGTCTTTTGGATGGTTTGCATGAAGTTGCTGCTGTCCAGGGCATCACCAAGATTGAAGTCCTTGAGGTAGGTGGCAATCTCAGCCTCCAGCCTGACCTTGATGTTCAGCAGGGCCTTGTAGTCCTGGGCCTGGCACTGTCCCTCTGCCCGGGTCTGTGCCAGCTCTGACTCCAGGTGCAGCAGGATCCCATTGAGGTACTCCATCTGCAAGGCATAGCGGGCCACCACCTCCCTCAGGCTGTTTTCCAAGCTGGCCTTCAGATTTCTCATGGAGTCCAGTTCGATCTCCAAGAACTGGACTGTACATCTCAACTCTGTGAGCGTCGTCTTAGCAGCTCCAACCTCGGTAGACTGTGTGGTGACCACTGTGGTGCTCTCCTCAATCTGCTGAGACCAGTACTTGTCCAGCTCCTCTCTGTTCTTCTGAGCCAGCTGGTCATATTGGGCCCGGATATCTGCCATGATCTTGGTGAGGTCTTGAGATTTGGGAGCATCTAACTGGGTGCCTGGACAGAGCCTAGGGACCGGTAGTTGGTGGAGAAGGTGGAGCAAGTGATGAAGCTCATGCTGTCTGGGGTAGATAGCAAGAGGACAGGACTTGGACTTTGCCGGCGACCTGCTTCAACTTTTATTATTTGTTTTCTTCAACTAATTTTGATTTGGTTTGCTCTTGCTTTTCTATTCCTTAAGATGAATCATTAGATTATTTATCTGAGGTTTTTCTTCTTTTTTGATGTAGGCACTTAATAGCTACAAATTTCCCTCTTTGTACTGCTTTCACTGTATCTCAAAAGTTTTGGTATGCTTCCATTATCATTTGTTCCAAGAAATTTTTCAATTACCGTCTTAATTTCTTCATTGACTCACTGGTCATTCAGGAGCATATTGCTGAATTTCCATGTGTTTGTATAGTTTACAAAGTTCCTCTCATTATTTTTAGTTTTATTTCATTGTGGTCAGAGAAGATGCTTGATATTATTTCAATTTTTTTAATGTTTTAGGATTTGTTTTGTAACCTAACATATGGCCTGACCTTGAGAATGATTTATGTGCTGAGGAGAAGAATGTGTATTCTGCAGCCATTGGATGAAATGTTCTGTAAACATCTATTAGATCCATTTATGCTATAGTGTAGATTAAGTCCAAAGTTTATTTGTTAATTTTCTACCTGGGAGATCTGTCCAGTGCTGAAAGTGAGGTGTTGAAGTCTCTGGATATTATTGTATTGAGGTATATCTCCCTCTTTAGCTCTATTAATTAATATTTGCTTTATATATTTGGGTGCTCTAGTATTGAATGTATATATATTTATAATCATTATACCCTCTTGCTGAATTGACCCCTTTATCATTATATAATGACCTTCTTTGTCTCTTCTTACAGTTTTTGTCTTGAAATCAATTTTGTCTGACATAAATGTAGCTACTCCTGGTCTTTTTTGGCTTCCATTTGCATGGAATATCTTTTCCCATCCCTATATTTTCAGTCTATGTGTATCTTTATAGGTGAAGTGTGTTTCTTATAGGCAACAGATCATTGGGTCTTATTTTCTCATCAATTCAGCCACTCTCTATCTTTTGATTGGAGAGTTTAGTTTGTTTACATTACAATGTTATTATAGATAAGTAAGGACTTACTCCTGCCATTTTGTTGTTTTCTGTTTTTTTGTTTGTTTGTTTTTTGTGGTCTTCTCTTCCCTTTTTCCTTCCTTCTTGCCTTTTTTAGTGAAGATGATTTTCTCTGATGCTATGGTTTAATTTCTTGCTTTTTATTTTTTGTGTATCCATTGTGTGTTTTTTGATTTGAGGTTACCATGAGGCTTGCAAATACTATCTTAAAACCCATTATTTTAAACTGAAGACAACACTAATTGCATAAACAACAAACATGCAAAAGGAAAACTAATAAAAATTCTACACTTTTCACTTCATCCCCCAGCTTTTTAACTTTCTGTTGCTTTTCATTATGTCTTATTGTACTGTCTTTGTCTTGAAAAGTTGTAGTTATTATTTTTTATTGGTTCATCATTTAACATTTCTACTTAAGAGTACTTTATACACTACAATTACAGTGTTACACTACTCATACTATTCTGTGTTTTTCTGTGTGTTTACTATTACCAGTGAGTTTTGTAGCTTCCAATGATTTCTTCTTGCTCATTAACATTTCTTTTTTCAAATTAAAGAGCTCTTTTCAGCATTTTTTGTAGGACAGGTCTGGTATTGATGAAATTCCTCAGGTTTTGTTTCTCTGGGAAAGTCTTTATTTCTCCTTCATGTTTGAAGAATATTTTCACCAGCTATACTATTCTAGGGTAAAGGTTTTTTCCTTCAACACTTTAAAAGTGTCATACCATTATCTCCTGACCTATAAGGTTTCCATTGAAAAGTCTGCTGCCAGATGTATTGGAGCTCAATTGTATGTTATTTGTTTCTTTTCTCTTGCTGATTTTAGGATCCTTTCTTTATCCCTGACCTTTGGGAATCTGATTATTTGATGCCTTGAGGTAGTCTTCTTTGGGTTATATCTGCTTGCTGTTCTATAACCTTCTTATACTTGAATGTAGATATCTTTTCTAGGTTTGGGAAGTTCTCTGATATTATCCCTTTGAATAAACTTTCTACCCTTTTCTCCTTCTCTACCACCTCTTTAAGGCCAATATCTCTTAGAGTTGCCCTTTTGAGGCTACTTTCTAGATCTTGTAGGCATGCTTCATTGTTTTTTATTCTTTTTTCTGTCTCTTCTGACTCTGTTTTCAAATCACCTCTTTTCAAGCTCACTAATTCTCTCTTCTATTTGACCAGTTCTACTCTTGAGACTCTGATGGCTTCTTCAGCATGTTAATTGCATTTTTCAACTCTAGAATTTCTGCTTGATTCTTTTTGCATCAATCTCTTTGTTAATCTAATAGAATTCTGGATTCATTTTCTGTGTTCTCTTGAATTTCACTGTGCTTCTTCAAAACAGCTATTTTGAATTATCTGTCTGAAAGGTCACATATCTATTTCTCCAGGATTGGGCTGTGGTGTCTTATTTAGTTCATTTGGTGAGGTCATGTTTTCTTGGAAAGTGTTGGTGCTTGTAGATGTTCTTTGGTGTCTGGGCATTGAAGAGTTAGGTATTTATTGTAGTCATCACAGTCTGGGCTTGTTTGTGCCTGTCCATTTTGGAAGGTTTTCCAGGTTCTCAAAGGGACTTCAGCCTCAAACCCAATAATGCTGTGGTTTTTGCAGACTTGTAGAAGTACTGCCTTGGTGGCCTTAGTTAAGATCCAAAAGAATTATCTGGATTACCAGGCAGAGACTCTTGTTCTTTTCCCTATTTTCTCCCAAACACATGGAGTTTCTCTGTGTTGAGGTCCCTGGAACTGGAGGTGTGGTGATGCAAGCCACCACCACTGGGACTGTGCTGGGTCAGACCTGAAGCCAGCACTGCACTGGGCCTTGCCCAAGGCTCTTTCCTTAAGGGTGGTGAGTTCCCCCCAGGTTCCAGGTGTGTCTACAGATGCTGTTTGTGAGTGAAGGATTGGAGTCAAAAACCTTACAAATTTATCTAACATTCTACTCTACTGCAGCTAAGCTGGCACTCAAACCACAATAGAAAGTCCTTCCCTTTCCAGAGAGGAAGCTCTCCCAGGGCCACCACTACTACCAGTCCACAGGGGGTTCTGCCAGGCCACAGCTGATGTTTACTTTAAGCCCAAGGGCTCCTCTGTCAGCCTGAGGTGAATGCTGCCAAGGGCAGCATTCAGGGCAATAGGCTCCCCTCTGACCCAGGGCAGGTCCAGAAATGGTGTCCACCTATAAAGACATACAGTCTTTAATAAAAGCTTTTATCAAACAGGAGGAGTCTTTCACCATAGCCACCACAGCTGGGAATGTGCTGAGTCACCCCTGAAGCCAGCACATCTCAGAGCCCAATGCTCACAGTGTGGTCCCTGGGTATCACTCCTGGCTATTCAGGGCCCAAGGGCTGCTTAGTCAGCAGGTGATTAATCCTGCCAGGACTAGGTCCTTCCCTTCAAGGCAGCAAGTTCTTTTGCACCAGTGTGTGCCTCAAAATGTCATCTGGAAAGTAGGGCCTGGAATGAGGGCCTCAGGACTCTGCCCAGTGGCCTATCCTACTGTGGCTGAGCTGATATCCAAGATGAAAGACATCATCCTCTTAACTCTTCACTCTCCTATCCTTAAGCAGAAGAAAGGAGTTACTTTTGTTGCTGTGAGCACAAGTCCTCCCTTAGCCACATCAGCTGATGTCTCCCTAGGTTACATGCCACCCAAGTCCACTGGCTCTAAGCCTGGGCTAGCACTAGGAGTTGCCTAGCAATTGCAGTCCTTGTGCTCTAGACTGCCTTTCAAGTTTACCTAGAACCCCCATGGGCACTTCAGCCTACACTCCTAGAAATTCCAGTTCTGATCACTGGAATGGGCAATTTCCCTCTGGCTAAGGGTGGTCCAAATGCTCTCTCCATGCACAGGCATTTGCTGAGCCCAGGATAGCTTTATTCTCCACTGTGACAGGTAGCACTGAGTTCAATGTAAAGTCCTCCAGTTGCTGCACTCTCCCTCCCCAAAATGCACAGATTCTCTGTGCTGAGATGAAATGGGGATGTGAGAGGTGTGGCATTGGCGATTCAAGACGACTGTCTCTCCTGCCCTCCTCAATGACTCTTTCAGTGATACGAAGTTAAAGTCCGGTACTTTGATTGCTTACCTGATATTTGCTTCTTGTGATGGTGCTTTTCTTTACAGTTGTTAAATTTGGTGTTCCAGTGGTTGGGGGCAAGTGGTGTAGGCTTCTATTCCACCATCTTGCCACCGTACATCTAACTTTTTAAGTAACTCTCAAACTGGTTTACAAAATGATGGTACTATTTTACATTTCTACCGGCAGTATGTGAGATATTTAGCTCCTCCACATTCTCACCAACACTTGGTATGGTCAATTGTTTTCATTTTAATCACTTTTATAGGTATGTAGTAGTATCTCATTGCAGTTTTTAATTTGTATTTCCCTAATGAGTAATGATATTGGGTACCTTTTCATGCCATTACTTGTCATCTATACATCTTCTTTGGAGAAATGTCTGTTCAAATCTTTAGCCCATATTTTAATTGGGTTACTTGTGTTCTTATTGTTGAGCTTCAAGTGTTGAAGTCTTTTATCAAATATATTCTTGCCAAAAATTTTATCTCAACAAGTGGCTTGTCTTTTCATTCTCTTAACAGTGTCTTTGAAAAATAGAAATTTTAAATTTTGATGAAGTCGAATTTATCAATTCAACCTTTTATTGGTTGTGATTTTGGTGGGTTTTTTGTTTCTGAGACAGGATCTCACTCTCGCCCAGGTTGGAGTGCAGTGACACAATCTTGGCTCACTGCAACTTCTGCCTCCCGAGTTCAAGCAATTCTTGTGCCTCAGCCTCCCAAGTAGCTGGAGCTACAGGTGCATGCCACCACTCCCCGCTAATTTTTGTATTTTTAGTAGAGACAGGGTTTCACCATGTTGGCCAGGCTGGTCTCCAACTCCTGACTTCAAGTGATCCACCTGGCTCGGCCTCCCAAATTGCTGGGATTACAGGTGTGAGCCACTGTGCCTGGCCAATTTTGGTGTTTTATC